ATATGAATATATTCTATTATATTATGTTATATTATATTATATGAGATTACATTGTATGATATTATATTATATTATATTGTATTATATTATATCATATTATATTATATGATATTATATTATATTGTCTTATGTTATGCTAGGTTATGTTATGTTATATTACGGTATTATAGTATTTAATATGATATGATATTATATCATCTGTTTGTATATTCTATGATATATTACTATTAGTATTACTATTATTATTCTTATTATTACTATTATTCCCCACATCTTTGTGTGGGGTTCTTACTTTTGGGGCTGTCCCGCCTCCTCCTCCCTCTTCCTCCTCCTCCTTCTCCTCCTCCCCGTCCTCCTCTTCCTGTTCCTCATGACGCAGCATCACGCACAGCACGCATCATGCATCACATCACGATCACGCACATCACGCATCACATCACGCACATGACGCACCATCACGCACATGACGCCACATCACGATCACGCACATCACGCATCACATCACGCACATGACGCGGTGTCACGCATCAAATCACATCACGCACATGACGCACCATCACGCACATGACGCAGTGTCACGCATCAAATCACATGACGCAGTGTCGTTTCTGCTGGCAGGCGCGGTACTTAGGGGCCTTGGACCCTTGCCGCGCGCGCGCTCGGGGCGCGGGAAACGCTGGTAGGCGCGACACGGGCGTCGTTTGGGCTGACAGGCGCGGTACTTAGAGGCCCTGGACTCTTGCCGCTCGGGGCGCGGGAAACGCTGGCAGGCGCGACACAGGCGTCGTTTTTGCTGGCGGGCGCGGCACTTAGGGGCCCTGGATTCTTGCCGCGCGCGCGCTCGGGGCGTGGGAAACGCTGGCAGGCGCGACACAGGCGTCGTTTGGGCTGGCAGGCGCGGTACTTAGGGGCCCTGGACCCTTGCCGCGCGCGCGCTCGGGGCGCGGGAAACGCTGGGAGGCGCGACGCAGGCGTCGTTTGGGCTGGCAGGCGCGGTACTTAGAGGCCCTGGACTCTTGCCGCGCGCGCGCTCGGGGCGCGCGAAACGCTGGCAGGCGCGACACAGGCGTCGTTTTTGCTGACAGGCGCGGTACTTAGGGGCCCTGGACTCTTGCCGCGCGCGCGCTCGGGGCGCGGGAAACGCTGGCAGGCGCGACACAGGCGTCGTTTCTGCTGGCAGGCGCGGTACTCAGGGGCCCTGGACCCTTGCCGCGCGCGCGCTCGGGGCGCGGGAAACGCTGGCAGGCGCGACACAGGCGTCGTTTCGGCTGGCAGGCGCGGTACTTAGGGGCCCTGGACCCTTGCCGCGCGCGCGCTCGGGGCGCGGGAAACGCTGGCAGGCGCGACGCAGGCGTCGTTTCGGCTGGCAGGCGCGGCACTTAGAGGCCCTGGACGCTTGCCGCGCGAGCGCTCGGGGCGCGCGAAACGTTGGCAGGCGCGACACAGGTGTCGTTTGTGCTGGCAGGCGCGGTACTTAGAGGCCCTGGACCCTTGCCGATCGCGCGCTCGGGGCGCGCGAAACGCTGGCAGGCGCGACGCACGCGTCGTTTGTGCTGGCAGGCGCGGCACTTAGAGGCCCTGGACCCCCCTGGACCCTTGCCGAGCGCGCGCTCGGGGCGCGCGAAACGCTGGCAGGCGCGACACAGGCGTCGTTTCTGCTGGCAGGCGCGGTACTCATGGGGCCCTGGACCGTTGCCGCGCGCGCGCTCGGGGCGCGGGAAACGCTGGCAGGCGCGACACAGGCATCGTTTCGGCTGGCAGGCGCGGTACTTAGGGGCCCTGGACCCTTGCCCCGCGCGCGCTCGGGGCGCGCGAAATGTTGGCAGGCGCGACGCAGGTGTCGTTTGTGCTGGCAGGCGCGGTACTTAGAGGCCCTGGACCCTTGCCGAGCGCGCGCTCGGGGCGCGCGAATCGCTGGCAGGCGCGACACACGCGTCGTTTGTGCTGGCAGGCGCGGCACTTAGAGGCCCTGGACCCTTGCCGCGCGCGCGCTCGGGGCGCGCGAAACGTTGGCAGGCGCGACACAGGTGTCGTTTGTGCTGGCAGGCGCGGTACTTAGAGGCCCTGGACCCTTGCCGAGCGCGCGCTCGGGGCGCGCGAAACGCTGGCAGGCGCGACACACGCGTCGTTTGTGCTGGCAGGCGCGGCACTTAGAGGCCCTGGACCCTTGCCGAGCGCGCGCTCGGGGCGTGCGAAACGCTGGCAGGCGCGACACAGGCGTCGTTTCTGCTGGCAGGCGCGGTACTCAGGGGCCCTGGACCGTTGCCGCGCGCGCGTTCGGGGCGCGGGAAACGCTGGCAGGCGCGACACAGGTGTCGTTTCGGCTGGCAGGCGCGGCACTTAGAGGCCCTGGACCCTTGTCCAGCGCGCGCTCGGGGCGCGCGAAACGTTGGCAGGCGCGACGCAGGTGTCGTTTGTGCTGGCAGGCGCGGTACTTAGAGGCCCTGGACCCTTGGCGCGCGCTCGGGGCGCGCGAAACGCTGAGGCGCGACACACGCGTCGTTTGTGCTGGCAGGCGCGGCACTTAGAGGCCCTGGACCCTTGCCGAGCGCGCGCTCGGGGCGCGCGAAACGCTGGCAGGCGCGACACAGGCGTCGTTTGTGCTGGCAGGCGCGGTACTTAGGGGCCCTGGACTTTTGCCGCGCGCGCGCTCGGGGCGCGGGAAACGCTGGCAGGCGCGACACAGGCGTCGTTTCTGCTGACAGGCGCGGTACTTAGGGGCCCTGGACTCTTGCCGCGCGCGCGCTCGGGGCGCGGGAAACGCTGGCAGGCGCGACACAGGCGTTTCGGCTGGCAGGCGCGGTACTTAGGGGCCCTGGACCCTTGCCGCGCGCGCGCTCGGGGCGCGGGAAACGCTGGCAGGCGCGACACAGGCGTCGTTTCGGCTGGCAGGCGCGGCACTTAGGGGCCCTGGACCCTTGCCGCGCGCGCGCTCGGGGCGCGGGAAACGCTGGCAGGCGCGACACAGGCGTCGTTTCGGCTGGCAGGCGCGGTTCTTAGGGGCCCTGGGCCGTTGCCGCGCGCGCGCTCTGCACCGACCCTCCAAGTAGTACGCCGGGGACATCCGGAGCTTCCGTGGCTGGAAAGTCGACTAACGTAGTACGCCGCGGACACGCGGAGCTTCCGTGGCTGGAAAGTCGACCTTTTGTAGTACAGACGTAGTACGCCGCGGACGCCCTGGGCGTCTGAAGACACCGCACATAGCATGGTAACGGACATCTGGGCGCCTGAAAAACACCGCAAATAGCATGGTAGCGGACATCTGGGCGCATGAAAACACCGCAAATAGCATGGTAACGGACATCTGGGCGCATGAAAACACCGCAAATATCATGGTAACGGACATCTGGGCGCTTGAAAACACCGCAAATAGCATGGTAACGGACATCTGGGCGCTTGAAAACACCGCAAATAGCATGGTAACAGCTTGAAAACACCGCAAATAGCATGGTAACAGACATCTGGGCGCTTGAAAACACCGCAAATAGCACGGTGACGGACGTCTGGGCGCTCGAAAACACCGCATGTAGCATGGTAACGGACATCTGGGCGCTTGAAAACACCGCAAATAGCATGGTAACGGACATCTGGGCGCTTGAAAAACACCGCAAATAGCATGGTAACGGACATCTGGGCGCTTGAAAACACTCTTTCTGAATGGAAAACTTTGCATGTGGGGTGATCCGGTCCTTTAATTATTATTCTTATTATTATTACGATTATGATTATTATTATTCTTATTTTTCTTATTATTGTTGTTCTTATTTTTATTGCTTATTATTATTATTCTTATTATTGGTTCTGCTTCTTCTTATTATTGTTATCATTGTTATTATTATTGTTATTATTATTATTATTATTATTATTATTATTATTATTATTATTATTATTATTATTATTATTATTATTATTATTATTATTTTTTATTATTATTATTTATGATCTATATTATTATTTTAAATCTTTATACATTATTATTATTATTATTATTATTTATATGTTATCATTATTATTATTATTCTTATTATCATCATTATCATTACATTATCATTATATTTATTACTACTATATATATATATATATATATATGAGGTCCAGCGCTCCGGGGCCGCCCCCTCGCCTCCCCATGGTCTGGAACCCCCCCCCTCCGCCTTTCCTGTGGCCTTCCCCCCCCCCCCCCCCCCCCCCCCCCCTTCCCCCTCCCCCGTGACCCTGTGGGGTGAGGTGGTGGTTCAGGGTTCAGGGTTTAGGGTTTAGGGTTCAGGGTTTAGGGTTCAGGTCACTCAACCGAGAGAGCGCAACTCTCACAAAACACGGGTTGTGCCGAGGGTCCCTCAACCGAAGGCGCAACACTCACAAAACACGGGTTGTGCCGAGGGTGTGCTCACAATCGGCCCCACCCCCCTCCCCCCCCCCTACCTGACCAGAGGGGGGGGCCGGACACGCCAGACGCCGGACCATATATATACGCGCAGTTCGTTTTTCTTTCTTCTTCTTTTCGTCTTCTGCAGGTTTGGGAGGGGATTTTGGGGGAGGTGGATCCCTGGTCCGACGCTCCCTGGGGGTTGGGGGGGGTTCATGCTTACCGTTTGGGGCTTAGGGGTTGAGGCCTTCGGACCTTACATTTTTTTCATGCCATTTGGCCTGCAACGCTTAGGGTTTAGGGGTTCAGCGGTTTGGGTTCAGAGGGTTATATAGAGTAGGGGTTCGGGTTTAGGGTTTATCTAGGGTTTAGGGTTCGTCAGACCAACCTGCGCCGGCCAGTACCCCGCAGGCCGCGCGCCGTGAGCCCCAAGCTCTCCCAACCCTGAACCCGAAGCCCAAAAGTCCCCGAGAGCCCTAAACTCCTAAAGCTTTGGCCCGCGCTTGCCACAACGAGCGCCTGCCCCTTCCTCCCCCCAAAAACATAATGAAATAAATAAAAGAAGCGAAACCCAAAAAAAGAGCAAGGATGCAAAGCAACAAAAACTCAAGCTCTCGGGGGTGCCAGCTCTCCTGAGGTGCACTTCGACTCCCACCTGGATACCTTCCCGCCCATGCGCCTCTTCGGGGGGCCGTTTTCTCTCTTCTCCGGAGTCACCGAAGGGTTCTCCTAAGGGGGTTTCGGGTTGAGGGTGCAGTTGTGTGATAAGGGTTCTCACAAGGGAGGGGGCGCAGGGTTCTAAAGGAGGGTGTGTTATATCGCAAAACCCTTTATACGCCCTACATGTGGCAAGTCTGTAGCCTCAAACCAACCCTAAACCCCAAACCCTAAACCCACCCTAAACCCGAAACCCTAGACCCTAAATCAACAGACCTCCTGAAAGAGTGAGGTACGGCCAGCAGGTGTGGCACGGGGCGCCCTTTCGAAATTGCTGGGAGGAGGGGCTCCTGGCCAAGGACCCCAAAGAAAGAGGGTTAGGGTTGGCGGGGCGGTTTAAACGGAGGGCCTATTTTTTGGGGTCTTTTTTTTTTTTTGGGCTTTTTTTTTTTTTTTTTGATTTTCTTGGTTTTTCCTAAGAAAACCACCATTCCCTCCATATTTTTAAAGGATTTGATGCATTTTCGTGGTTTTTTGGTACGAAAAACAGTAATTTCTCTGTGGTTTCATAGGAAAGCGTTATTTCTGGTACGTTTTAGAAGGAAAGAAGGAAAGAAAGGAAGGAAGGAAGGATGAAAGAAAGGAAGAAAACAAGGAAGGAAGGAAGGAAGGAAGGAGGGAAGGAAGAAAGGAAGGAAACAAGGAAGGAAGAAAGGAAGGAAGAAAGGAAGGAAGCAAGGAAGGAAGAAAGGAAGCGTGCTTCGAAGCCCAAGAAACTAGTTGAAAAACATCGTGTGAGCATTGTGTTTGCAAATGGGGGGGGCTGCGCCCCCCCCAACCCCCCCGCTTTTTTTGTTTTTTTTTTAAGCCGTGCAGAGCGTGCGTGCTTCAAAGCCCAAGAAACTTGTTGACACCCATCATGTGAGCAGGGTGTTTGCAAATGGGGGGGGGGCTGCGCCCCCCCCAACCCCCCCCGCTTCTTTTAAGCCGTACCAAGCGTGCTTCAAAGCCCAAGAAACTAGTTGAAAAACATCGTGTGAGCATTGTGTTTGCAAATTGGGGGGGGGGCTGGCGCCCCCCGCTTTTTTTAAGCTGTGCAGAGCGTGCTTCAAAGCCCAAGAAACTTGTTGACACCCATCATGTGAGCATGGTGTTTGCAAATGGGGGGGGGGCTGCGCCCCCCCCAACCCCCCCACCGCTTTTTTAAGCCGTACCAAGCGTGCTTCAAAGCCCACGAAATTTGTTGACACCCATCATGTGAGCAGGGTGTTTGCAAATGGGGGGGGCCTGCGCCCAAGAAACTAGTTGAAAACATCGTGTGAGCATTGGGTTTTGCAAATGGGGGGGGCTGCGCCCCCCCCAACCCCCCCGCTTTTTTTCAGCCGAAGCCCAAGAAACTAGTTGAAACCCATCATGTGAGCAGGGTGTTTGCCACCCCCCCCCAACCCCCCCCTTGCTTCTTTTAAGCCGTACCAAGCGTGCTTCAAAGCCCAAGAAACTAGTTGAAAAGCATCGTGTGAGCATTGTGTTTGCAAATGGGGGGGGCTGCGCCCCCCCCAACCCCCCCGCTTTTTTTTTAAGCCGTGCAGAGCGCGCTTCAAAGCCCAAGAAACTTGTTGACACCCATCATGTGAGCAGGGTGTTTGCAAATGGGGGGGGGCTGCGACCCCCCCCAACCCCCCCCGCTTCTTTTAAGCCGTACCAAGCGTGCTTCCCAACCCAAGAAACTAGTTGAAAAACATCGTGTGAGCATTGCAAATGGGGGGGGCTGCGCCCCCCCCAACCCCCCCGCTTCTTTTAAGCTGTACCAAGCGTGCTTCAAAGCCCAAGAAACTAGTTGAAAAACATCGTGTGTGCATTGTGTTTGCAAATGGGGGGGGGCTGCGCCCCCCCCAACCCCCCCGCTTTTTTTAAGCCGTGCAGAGCGTGCTTCAAAGCCCAAGAAACTTGTTGACACCCATCATGTGAGCAGGGTGTTTGCAAATGGGGGGGGGGGCTGCGTCCCCCCCCAACACCCCCCGCTTCTTTTAAGCCGTACCAAGCGTGCTTCAAAGCCCGAGAAACTAGTTGAAAAAAAAGTATGAATCCGATGAAAATATAGAGGGAATGATAGAAACCAAGAAAACGAACCAAATAGGGTTTTCCCTAGGACAAACAAAGGAAAAGCAACGTACGCTTTGTTTGACGAAATCCGTCCAAAATGTAATCAGAAGAGGGTTTCCTTAGGAAAAACGAACGAAAACCTCGTTTTTTTCAAGCCGTGCAGAGCGTGCTTCAAAGCCCAAGAAACTTGTTGACACCCGTCATGTGAGCAGGGTGTTTGCAAATGGGGGGGGTTTTCCCCCAACCCCCCCCCCCCTTCTTTTAAGTCGTACCAAGCGTGCTTCAAAGCCCAAGAAACTAGTTGAAAAAACATCGTGTGAGCATTGTGTTTGCTAATGGGAGGGGGGGGCTGCGCCCCCCCCCAACCTCCCCGCTCTGTTTTTTTTGAGGCCGTGCAGAGCGTGCTTCAAAGCCGAAGAGGTGTTTGCAAGTGGGGGGGCTACGCCCCCCCAGCCCCCCCCCAGGATATCTGTCCAAAATGAAAGCAAAATAGGGTTTTCCCCCTAGGAAAAACCAAGGAAAACCTAAGGGAAATTACAGGAAATCCGTCCAAAATGTAAAAAAATAGGTTTTTCCCTATGAAAAACCAACGAAAACCTAAGGGAAATGACAGAAAATCCGTCCAAAATGTAAGGAAAGTAGGGTTTTTCCTAGAGAAAACCAAGAAAATCGACCAAAAAGAAAAAAAAGGCCAAAAAAAAAAAAAGACCCCAAAAAAAACTCCACCCGGTTTAAACCCTTTCTGTACCTTGTATAGTCCCTGTATGCCATCAGTAGCCCCTGAATGACCCCTAAAGAACTCCTAAGGGTCCTTCCTGTAGTGCCTTGAGTCCAGGGTACTATTTCACAGTAATCGGCTATTGCGCACAATGACATTTTCCATGATCATTACTCATATAAGAGCAAACAACCATGGCAAGAAGGGGCTTCGCTGTGTGAGTTGGGGGCGCTCGGATTCCGATTTCTTTTTTTCGGAAAGGGGGGGGAAGGGCTTTGCTCAAGGCTTTGAGTTTCGGGGAACTGCCGGGGTTTCTGTTGCTTTCGCAGCTGTTTTCAGGGCTTTGCGGTTGCGCTGGCTAGTGTGCTTCTGCTTCTGGGCTTTGGACGGGACATGCCCCAAGATGTCGGACGAGGCTTGTGGGGCTTCATGTGCTTATTGGGATTATATACGTACATGTGCATTCTTCGTACCAATCATCAAGAAGACCCTGCCGATACTTACGAGCATCTTTCGGAGGGCCTCAACCCTGAACCAATGAACCCGACACCGTCAACCCTCAACTCGAGACGCCCCAAGCTCAACCCTCAGCCCTGAACCTTAAGCCCTAAGCCCTAAGCCCTGAGCCCTAAGCCCTAAACCCTAAACCCTAAACCCTAAACCCAAAACCCAAAACCCTATAAGCCTTAAGCCCTCTCAACCTTTGGGTTGGGGAGAAGAGGACGGCTCCACCCACGTTGGCATCCGGGCGACGACGTACTCGGCAGAGGAGCCTCAGTCTGAACCTTCCGAGGAAAATCTGTTTGTTCGAGGAAGCGCCGGCCCAAATTTTGGGCCAACGAAGTCCACCGAACCAACAAATCTCAGTCCTACACCTGAACCCCAACCCCCGCCCCCCCCCCCCCCCCCCAAAAAAAAAAAAAAAAACATTAGACGCCCCAAAAACTCAAACCCCCTGGGCCCAAGAAGGCCTTCAAAAGGCGAATTGCAAGCGCCGCGCAGGACTTTCACGACTCCGAGGCCATGGGCATCGCGACGTTGACGGCCGAGGAGCTTAGGGTTTAGGGTGAGGGTGTGAGATTGCCGTTGGTGTTCACAAGACGGTGGAACAACGGGGGAAAACGACCGGTAGGAAGGGACCTCGTCGGTGGATTACTTGAGTTTAGAGGCAGCAAGACCTCAACAAGGAAGAGCACGCGCCGAGGACGTGCATGAGCGAGGGGTTCCGGCCTGTGTGGAGGCGGGGTTCTCAGTATTGGACTTTGGTTCAGGGCTCACCCTAAACTAAACCCTAAACCCTGAACCCTAAGAATCCTAGAAACCCCAAATCCCTACTGACCTCGACACTCAACCCTAAAAACCTCCAAACTCCCTGAACCCTAGGCCGCAGGCCCTCCGCCAACCCGAAGTCCCCCCACACTTGCACTCCTTCTCGGATTCCAGCGCTCCTTCTTCTCGGCCACAACCAAAGGCGACCTTTCGGGCACCCAATTCTACGACCGCAAGAACGAGCTGTCTTCTTCGCCCTCCCTAAAACCCTAAAACCCTAAAACCCTAAAACCCTAAAACCCTAAAATCCTAACACCCTAACACCCTAAAGCCCTAAAACCCTAAAACCCTAAAACCCTAAAGCCCTAAAACCCCAAAAACCCTAAACCCTAAACCCTAAACCCTAAACCCTGCCATGTCCTGCTCCTAAAGACCATGAAGCCAATCCTGAGGCTTGGGTCTCCGGGTCTACACTTTTTTTTTCTAGGTTCAGCATTGACCTGAACGGAAATTCTTCTCCTCATCCGTCAACTTCTTGTGGACCTCTTGAGTGGGCCGCCCTAACACTGGCACTGTTCGGTGGTGTGTTCAGCTTCACTCGGCGCCGCTTCGACATGTTCTTGGCCGTCTCTGTGGCGGTGCAGGCGACCTGCTTCGACAAAAACCAGTTCCACCCATGGCACCTCCGTACCAGATGGAAATGGGCGGGCGGGCTCTGGGCAGGGGGTTTACCGGGCCCTCGCCGCATCCTCTTGCTTCACGTCCTTCGGCGCCGCTTCTTGACGGGCCGGCACTTTCCATTGTCCTTCCAGCCTTACTTGAGGAGTTCCTCTTGACAAAAGGGATGGATCAGACGCAAAGTGGCTCAAAGGTTCCTACTCGTCACCTCTTGCAACAGCAGAAGAACACTGGCAGAGCTGGTTCTTCTTGCAGTACTGAAAGTAAATCGTGCCGAAATATCAGTCTGCAATTTCGACCTGCCTCGGCCAACTTCCACCTGGCTTCTACCCCGCCTGTGCCTCCACAGACAGGCGGTTTGGCGGCGGTGGCGCCGCTCTGGCAATGCCCCGGTCTACCTGTCAATAGACACCCCGGCTGCATCTTCGGGCCGTGCCAGGGTTTTTCAGGGGTTATGTGAGGGTTCGAGCGTTCTCAAAAGGGGTTTTGGGGTTTCAGAGTTCAGGAGTGTTGGGGTTGAGGGTTCTTGAGAGCAGGCTCCGGAGGCTGTTTCGGGCTTGGGGGTGTTTTAGGGTGTCAGAGGGGGCCTTGCAGTGAATCGTGACCCCTAGAGCCCTCGAACCCGAAAGGTGAGGGGCGGTTCTCGGATCTTTGCTGTTCTGAAATTGAGACTACAGTGTCGTTAGAAGGGAGGGGGAGTTCATGAGCTTAGGCAGCCGCAGGGAGTAGTGGGTTACACACCTTCTTGAACCCCTGAAGGACCCTATAAGAGTCGAATTCTGGCTCCGGTCCCGACCCTTAGGACATCGACGTGCTGGACCCCTCTGTGGCCCCGGGCACGGGGACCCCCGAGCCGCTGGGCAGCTTTCCCTCTTCAAAACACACGAAAGCAAAAAGGAGTCCCGTATCTACTGATGCACCTTGGGGTGTTCCCACTTCTACTGACGGTCCTTAACAGGGATTATAGTACCCCCAATTAGAGGTCCACGACTTGCCAGGGAAGGCTCAGGGTTTCCAGTCCAGGTAGAGGGGTCGACAGTTGATCTTTAAGAAGCCGAAAAGAGAGCCGATTGGCAAAAGGTTCGGCGGACTTCTGGCGCACCAACTGCTGCAGTTCATCCGGGGGCTGACACTTGGCCTGGATCGAGGTTGTGTGGGGCCTCAGGGAGCCCCCAGTTCCCATCTTTCGTCCTAACCTTTGGGGCTCTAGGGGTTCTAGGGTTTAGGGTTTAGTGGGGTTAACCCTAGACCTTCAGGGCTCGAGAAGTTCTAGGGCGGCCTCCCATTCAGGAAGGGCCTCCCCATCGTGGGAGCCGACGTCGTCGAGGCTGAACTACCACAACCACTACCACTTCCTCTACCACTTTCCACTACCACTACCACTACCCCACTATCACTAGAACCACTGGGAGGGCCAAAGCCTGAAAGCGCTAAAGTGCTTCTACTTGAAGGCCCCGTGCCCCAAGGGTCCGACCGTCGGTGCATCTTCTACGACAGGACGCCCGCTCCAAGCCTCTAAGCCCTCGAAGCCCTCGAAGCCCTCCAAGCCTCCACAGTTGAACCTTGAATTCCCCCCGCAAAATGCCACCCTCAACCTTCAGAGCCTTAAAGCCAGGTTCGGCTCCTTTGAGCCCGAGGCCCAAGGCCTTCAACATGTTTTTCAGAGGGTGCGAAGGGTGTTTCCTAGAAACTGGGGGCAGCCTGGAGGTGGCGCCGGCCTACGACCATGCGGGGATCACGGCCATGGCCGCCGCCAACCTCCTCCTGGAAGAGACGTTTGGCGGGGTAGGGTTTAGGGTTCAGGGTTTAGGGTTTAGGGTTCAGGGTTTAGGGTTTAGGGTTTAGGGTTTAGGGTTTAGGGTGTGGGAGCAACCTGGTGGAATGGGCTTCCGAGCGGAGGCCGAAGGGTTGAGGCATGTGGCGAGCGATGCTTAAGAGTTTTCGAGGGAGTGTGAAGCATCCTTCTGAGAGTGTGCGACATTGAGACACCGTTTGAATCCCTAAAGCTCATGGACTCCCTCTCACCCTCACCCTCTCCCCCTCCCCCTCCCCCTCCCCCTCTCCCTCTCCCTCTCCTGCTGCCTCTGTTCTTCCTCTTGTTCTCTTGTTCTCCCTTGTGTTCTCTCTCTCTTGTTCTCTCTCTGCTTCTCTCTCTCTTGTTCTCTCTCTGCTTCTCTCTCTCTCTCTCTCGTTCTCTCTCTCTCTCTCTTTTGTGCTCTCTCTCTTTCTCTCTCTCTTTCTCTCTCTTTCTCTCTCTTTCTCTCTCTTTCTCTCTCTTTCTCTCTCGTTCTCTCTCTTTCTCTCTCTTTCTCTCTCTTCTTCTCTCTTCTTCTCTCTTTTTCTCTCTTTTTCTCTCTTTTTCTCTCTTTTTCTCTCTTTCTCTCTTTCTCTCTCTTTCTCTCTTTCTCTCTTTGTCTCTTTGTCTCTTTCTCTCTTTCTCTCTTTCTCTCTCTTTCTCTCTCTTTCTCTCTCTTTCTCTCTCTTTCTCTCTCTTTCTCTCTCTTTCTCTCTCTTTCTCTCTCTTTCTCTCTCTTACTCTCTCTTTCTCTCTCTTTCTCTCTCTTTCTCTCTCTTTCTCTCTTTCTCTCTCTTTCTCTCTCTTTCTCTCTTTCTCTCTTTCTCTCTTTCTCTCTCTTTCTCTCTCTTTCTCTCTCTTTCTCTCTCTTTCTCTCTTTCTCTCTTTTTCAAAATTCTCTCACTCTCTCTCTCCCCCATCTTCTCCTTGCAAGTCCTTGGCAGTTCATTCCAAAACCTGCCCTGTTTACAAGCTTCCTGGACGAAAACCCCTCTGTCTGAACATCTGAACCTCTAATCAGCTTCGATTTGGTGTTAGGCTGTAGGCTCTGCGCTTTCATGGGCCCCCCTGAAACTGTTTGGGTTTTTGCGACATCGGAACGGCCGTCGGTGGCCAAAAACCCGAGCAGTCGATGGCTCAGGATCGCGCTCATCAGCAGCTGCATGGACTCTGACGGGATGGAGACCCCAAGGGCCCCCATTTGAAGGGCCTACTTGGAGGTTCATGCCGGGTACTTCTACCCTCTAAGTAGGCATAAGTGGACTCATAATTGAGGTTACAAGTACCCACGCACCTCCAAGCAAGCGCCGAACGCTTGTAGCCCTCCCCAGCCCCAACCTCCTCAGAGCTCCAACACACTCAGTTGGGGCCATCGGTTCGCATCTCGCTGCCTCTGCCTGCGGCAACAAAAGTCGCGCAAACGCCCACGGGGGCAGCTACGCAGCTCCCGAAGTAGCCACTGCAATCCATAAACAGCTCAACACCTTCTTTGACAGTGGCGGCAGGGCCTCGCTCCTATTCTGCTACAGACGACCCCGTCACAAGTCAAATTCAGTTGTATTCTTTCCTCTTGATGGCTTTGTGGTACTTTACTGTAACTTTAGATCCTTACCTTTTTTGGGTTTATTGGGTTTCTTCTTAAGGCAGCTAAAAGTTTAGTTTATAGCTACCCTCCTGAGTGCAGCCAAGATGGATTCGGGTGTGCCCCCCTTCTTTTGCTGGTCAAAATACTTGTTTCCCCAACCCTTCGGCTTTTCGAATGCAGTGATTAAGAAGGTAGCTGTGAATGACCCTCTTGCTGGAAATCATCCGTGACAGCTACGCTGCGGATTACGATTTCGTAAATGTATCGAAGATGCCTGTTGAGGATCGAATTTGGGGATAGTAGATGGGGCAGGGAACATTATGGATCCACGTGCATATTGCATTGAGCCGCATTTAGCCTCCTGTTTCATAAGCGATATGTCTTGATCTATATAGATACGTTTTTGTATTGATATTCAACAGGGAAGTTAAACATGTACACTGCCAAATATGAATTACTCAGATGCCCCCCACACGCAGCATTTCCTGCCCCGAATATCCCCAGATTCCCTGGAGTGCCCAACCCCAGAGTATCCCCTGACAATCCCTGGAGTGTGCCCACAATCCCTGAGTGCCCAACCCCAGACTATGCCAACATCTGGAGTGCCCAGCCCCAGTATGCCCAGAGAACCCCTCGAGTGCCCAACCCCAAAGTAGGACGGCCTACCCAAATCTGTAGGAGCTACAGCGTCATATACACATACATATATATATATATGTATGTACACCTGTATGTATATGAAACAGATGACTCTAGGCTCTCTTGTTTTCTTGGCAAGTCACACTTCTTCGTCCTGAACGCCGTTCTCTCACACATAGCTAGGCAAAGTGGTCTGTCGATCTGTGGGCTAGAAAGCAACACAGTAGGAGCATATCATTGGGAGTCGGGTGTCATGTCGTCTAAGTTGTCCCAGGTCCGCTGTCCTTCAGTATGTCGCAGCGTTCTCACCCCTCTTCACTTTTTGAACGGAACGAAAAAAACCCTAAACCCTCAACCCTAAACCCTAAACCCCAAACTCTAAACCCTGTTCTGAAAGCGTTCTTGTAGTACAGGTTTCAGGTTTCAGGAGGTCCGAGAGCAGACTTTTTTCTCGGATCTCGGATTCCGGGCTTCCTTTGACCTGCTCTCTCCCTTCTTACTTCATATCGACAGCCCGAGGGCACCTTGCACTGCAGGACTGGGAGCTTGGGCTGCAGGATCCCAGATTCGGTTCACATCTCGCATGCGGCACAGGGAAGCTTTCATGAGGTGCAGAACTCGGGCTTCGGGATGTTTGGTAGCTCAGTCGCTTAGGTTTTTTTTCTTCCAGGGTTCTTGGGCCGTGCCAGCCTTGGCGTCGACCTTTTCCAAGGGTCGGGTCTCGCGCATTTTTTGTCACGTTACCTTGGAGCTGCTTCTCCCTGCCATGGCTTAAAGCGGATGTCAGCCGGCACCATGGAGGACTCTCCCACGAAGTAGGGCTCAGGGTTTCAGGGAGGTTAGGGAGTTTAGGGAGTTGAGGGAGTTTAGGGAGTTTAGGGAGTTCAGGGAGGGTTTAGGGTCTAGGGCTAGGGAGAATAGGGATGTTCGGGCCTGCCTTTGCAAAGCGTACGCGATAAACAACTAAACCCGGGAGCCCACGGGGGGAGTGAGGTTGTCGCTGCGAGGCCTGGCAGGTAAATTTAAGATCCTCCCCCCAAGGGTTTAGGGTTTAGGGTTTAGGGTTTAGGGTTTAGGGTTCAGGATTTAGGGTTTAGGCCTTCGGCCCCCAGAACTCCCATCGCCGCTGCCAAGTGCAAGTGACGCCAGGATACTGCGGCCACCCTTCCCCAGGCGAGATGAGCAGAGTGCTTTGCGGTTTAGGGTTTAGGGTTTGGGGTTTAGGGTTTAGGGTTTAGGGTTTTGGGTTTGGGGTGTTTCTCCCGCTTCAGGAAGCTTGCGATGTGGAAGGTAATCAGGGGTCCCTGGGCTTGTAGGGTTCACCTTGCTGATGGGCTGCGAAGTGTTTTTTGGCTTTTTCCTTCCTTTGGGTGTAGTGGCAATCCCACGTTGCGCTTGAAGACAGAAGTTGAAGCCTCCCGGATGCCAACTGCCGTGGAAGCGCGCAAGTGAGCCTTCAACGAACACACCCCCAAAGGGAGCTCCCCTCTCCTTCGCTTGGGGCTATTCTGGGTCCCGGTCGTATGTGTTGTGTGATGCCCAAAGTTCGAGGGCCCCAGGAATATTTGGGGTTCCCCTAAACCCTAAACCCTAAACCCTAAACCCTAAACCCTAAACCCTAAACCCTAAACCCTAAACCCTAAACGCTAAACCCTAAACCCTAAACCCTAAACCCTAAACCCTAAACCCTAAACCCTAAACCCTAAACCCTAAACCCTAAACCCTAAACCCTAAAGGGCCGTTTTATGGAGCGCGAATAATCCCCGAAAACCTGCGCCATGGCGCGCCAAGGTGGGCCTCATCACCGCCTTGCCGGCCGTGGCCACGGACCCAGTTGCAGGGTGTGTTGCTTCAGCTCAGGGGGAATAATTGCTCACGTTCCCCGCCTATAGTTATACATACTATAATACCCCCCTATAGTTATATATATATATATATATATAAATATATAAATATATAAATATATATATATATATATATATATATATATATATATATATCATACGATAAGAACCGCCTAGAGTTATGTTTACTACAATAACCCCCCAAAACCCTATTCTAATTATGAAGGGCCCCCCAAATTAGATTTATCAGGGCTTGGGTTTCAAGGGCTTTTCAAGGGTGTTTTTGCTTTTGGGCATCCTCAGGGATCAGGGCTGGGGCTTCCAGGGTTCTAAGCGTTTTTTTAGGGGTGGGAATCCGGGTTGTAGGGGTTCGGGGTTGCTGGCTGAGAGTGTCATGGCGCCGTGGGTCAGTTTTGCTATCGTTTTGTTTTGTTGTTGCCTTTTTGCTGCAGAAGCATCACCAAGGTAAAGAAGAAAGAGTGAGGGGCATCGACAGAAAGAGAAAATGAGGAGACGCAGAGAGAGGGAGAGAGAGAGAGAGAGACCGAGAGATTTCGCATCAACAAAGGTGTGGGAAGGGGAGGCAAGGAGCAACTTGCATTTGGTAATTTCTGATTATCACGGTGATATATATATATATATGTTTAGCTAAACCCTAAACCCTAAACCCTAAACCCTAAACCCTAAACCCTAAACCCTAAACCCTAAACCCTAAACCCTAAACCCTAAACCCTAAACCCTAAACCCTAAACCCTAAACCCTAAACCCTAAACAATAACCCCAAACCCTAAACCCTAAACCCTAAACCCCGCAAGGCCCTGGAAGACCCCTTGAGACCCTCGGCCGAGTCCATGGCGCTGGGCTCCATGGCCGTCTCGGCAGGGCAGCCGCGGAAGACTCAGAGGAGCTTAGGGTTTAGGGTTTAGGGAGTTTAGGGTTTAGGGTTTAGGGTTTAGGGTTTGGGTGTTTGGGTGTTTGGGGGTGTAGGGTTTGGGGGTGTGGGGTTTGGGGGTTTAGGGTTGAGGGTGGAGTTTACAGGCTAAGGGCGGCTGAATTTTGGCTTTTGGTGTGGTTTGGAGCTTCCGGCGTCTTGCTGGGGCTCCATGTAGGGCTCTCTGAAACAAATAGCGATGTTTCTGGCTGCTTTCCGGCTTGGGGTGGGATTCAGGGCTTGGGTCTTCCTGCGCCGGGTCTGGGTCGAAGGTTTTGGAGCTTCACCGTTCAGGCCTCTTGAGCTTCGGGGGTTGGGGAGGTGCTCCTCACACAGAGGGGAGATTCTCGAAGCAACTGTGGGGAATCGGGGTGTGAAAGCCTTAAGCCGCTTAAGCCCACTTCAGCCGAGCGCCGGTCTGGCCTTGCAAGGTCGGAGCGGCTGGAAGCGCGCCTCCAGCACTTCTCGGCTGGCGTTGGGGGCACCCAGACAAAGGGGGCGGCCTCTCAAAGAGGGGGGAATCTTGGGGGATGCACTGGGATTTTTCTACCTTATACTAACAGCTCCTTACTAGGGCTTGTCATAGGGGGTACTAGAATCCCGATTAAGGACTGCGAGCATCCCAGCTTCAGGATCTAGAGACGGTTTTGTTTTTTTTTTTGATTGGTTTCTTTCGGAACGTTAAGGATTTCTGGCGGAAGGCAAAGAGCTCCTTACAACCGACCCTCATTATCAGGGTTTACCCATAACACCCCTACACCCCAACACTCTTTTGGGTTGAAAATTTAGGGTTTAGGGGGGCCTCTTAGCCCTCAAAACAAAAGACCCCTGGCCCAGCTGCTGCTCGGGGCCGTGACCACGGAGATCTTTCCGATCCTGAGGCTCAGGGGGTTTTGGCTTCGGACTCTTCTATGCTTGACGCGTGAAACCAGTCATTAGTAGAGTGCTGGCTCTCTCCAATGCCGCTGAAGTGACTCTAGTGTTACGATGGATGGGCTATTCGAGTGGCTATAAGCTGCTTCTAGACGACATCTGCAAGCCAAAAAAAACCTCATACAGGTGCTCGCGTGTCTGCGTAGTTCTGACATTCATGAGAACTTGGAGGAAACGCAGACAAAGCACAGCAAGTCTGATGCACGAAGCAGGTGCAGTGAGCAGAATGTGTCAGCATTCTGACGAGACGACTAGACAGGTTGAACACAAGAT